GTGGTGGTGTATGCTTTTTAAGCCCTTTGAAAATACTCAGCATATAAATTTACTTTTGAGATTCCCAGTGTTCTTTTTGTTTATATGTGTTCTGTCATCAAAATTCTCAGTGTGTTCCGTGAATAACTGAAGAAGACCAGTTGCTTTTGAATTCTTTATTTGATTTACTTAAGTATAGAAGTACCCTAGAGTGGTCCAGCGCTGCGCATGTTACCTAAATGGGTAAAAGTTAAATTGGTCTTCTGAAATGTGTCTTGTGCTTTTGAAGTTCCACGGATATAAAGTACGTTCTTCATTTTCATAGCAAATCAACAATATTTCTACACCATAATTTTTTGTCCTAATAATGCTATATAAAAAAGAAAACATTTTCCTTGCTTAAAAAATATATATAGTTATTGAATATTTCTAGCTACATTAAAAATAAAGTATCATTTCAAACTGGAAAAAAGAATCAGTGAGTGGGGGAGATGAGAGAAATGGGAAGTATCTTTTGTGAAAAACAGTGTTTCCCAGCTTTGTAAATAAATCAGTATAAAATAAAAATAATTAGAGCAAATACTTTCTCAGACTCATAAAACTTGGGGGAAAAAAATACTATAGCCTTTGATGTGGATTACAACATCAAGAAAACAAACATCGTTACTACAGAGCCAATAGGTAATATGATAGATGGGAAAAGGATTGAAAATGTCAATGATTTAATTTTACTTGAGTCCAAAATCAACACTCTTGCTACTAGCAGTTAGTAGATCAGGAGATGCATTGCTTTGGCAAGTGCACTGTCAGAGACCTCGCCAAAACGCTGAAGAGCAATGATGTCACTTTGAAGACTAAGGTGTGCCCGATTTAGGCCATGGTCTTTTCAGTTCTTGCTCTGTATCTGAGAACTGGACAGTGAATAAAGATGACAGAAGAATTGAATTATGATGTTGAGCAAGAGCACTGAATATCCCATTAATTGCAAAAAAAAAAAAAAATGAACAGGTATACCTTGGGAAAAGTACAGCCAGAGTGCTCCTTGGAGGCAAGGATGGTGAGACTTCGGGACACATACTTTGGGCATGTTCTTAGGAGAGGCTATTCTTTGTAAAGGGACATTATGCTCAGAAAAGTAGAAGATTAGCAAAGAATGGTTAGACCCTCAATGAGATGAATTGTCTATGGTATTGAGCTCAAATGTGTCAGCAACAAAGGATGGTACAAGATTCAGATCTATTATTTATAGGCCTGCTATGTGTTGTATCAGTGACACTTAATAACACCTGCAGATAAAGTTAGTTTTACTTCTTCTTTACTAATGTGGATGCCTTTTATTTCCTTTTTTTCACTTTGTTGCCTAGTGACAAAAAGCTGCAGTGCAATCCTGAAAACACTCAGTTTGAGTTCACCAGCTGTTCTGTGGGAGACGGATGGGCAGTCTTCTCCCATGTGATTTACTGCCTCTGAAAACCTACTGTAGGGTCAGCTATGGGTTGGTTCAAATCAATGGTACACACCGCTGCCGCCAGCAGGACTTAAATATAATATCAAATAGAGTAGTGATAAAGGGCAATCTTATCTGCCAACCTCTCCATTGAGAGCAGTGTTGAATTACTTTAAAAAAAAATAAATAAATTACGTTTACAATGGTAATCTTCTCTACTTTGTTTTAGATGAGCTATGGTGTATCAGAGAAAAAGGCTATCAGTCCTGACCTGTCGTATGCTGATGAAATGTCAGAGTGTTACCGAAGACTTGATTCTTTAACTCATAAGGTTAGGTTTATTTTTATTGTTTTCTTAATGTTAAATTGTGCTATCTTCTTCTCTTTGCAAATATAATTTGTATTTCTCTCTACTAAATATTTTAATTTGGAAGCAAGAGTGGCATCCACTTCCTAAACAGCATACCTCTGGAAACTTGGTAAATGTCGATAGTTACAGAAAGGCTTTAGGCCATGTGTTCATATGGCCACTGAGTTGTGCTCAACTCAGTGGCAATCAACAACAATAATAACATATTTTAAAAGGGAGCTCTGGTGTCTAGTTGTAAGGAATTGCACTGCCAGTGCAAAGGACATGGTTCAAATCCACCAGCTGGCCTGAAGAAGGATGGGCAATCTTCTTCCATGTGTTTGAAAATCCGCTGGAGGATCAGCTGTAGGTGGATTCTGACTTTATTATATGCAGCAACAACAATATATTTTTAAAATTACATTTATCCATACATATTTATTTACTTATTCTGGGCTTTATTTTTTCATAATGCTGTGTATTTTCTGTTAATGACATTTATTTCGCTATGTTAGAATTCTCCACCATAATGTAAATTTCTTGATACATGGAATATACTTTATTCATGTCTGATTTACCATCACCTGTCGTAACAAATATAGTAAAGGAAGAAATGGCCCAGTTAGCAGTTAGTGCAGAAGTTACTTGTAAAGATATAGGTGATTGCTGTAATTTAGCATCTCTGCAGTCTCCTCCTGTGTGATTTAAAGCCTCATTAAAAACCCCAGGAAGTTTAGCTATGAGTTGGTTCTGACTAGACGGTAAGGAGTTTTAGAAGTTAGCGTAAGAGAACAGTGTATCCCTGCATTTATTCAGACCTTGTATTTATGAGGCTAAAGTAGAGTTTACATGAACAAGTATTAAGTCAAGATTTTTGGGCATGTAAACTTGTAAACCCATGATGCTGTGGCTTGTGTGGGCAGGGTAGATAGGCAGGGAGTATGGGGATGGGCTGAAAGGAGGACAGATATAGCCAGGTCGTAGGGGTTGTAGAAGTCCTGCATAGCTGTAGGCTGGAATGAGAGGGTGGCAAGGGTTAGAGAGGACAGGAAGAACTGACAGGTTTTGTTGGTGAAGGAAGGAGGGATAAGAGACAGGAAGAGTTAGGGTGAATGAATGAAGTTTCTAGTTTGAGAAATGGAGATTTTTCATTTCCATACAGATAAATCTCAGTTAATGCTTATAGCTCTTAGGAAATGTGAGTGTTAGCTGGGAGCCAGGAAAGACAGGTTTGGATAAAATTTCCCTCAGAAAACAGTTATGCTTTTCTTATTACACATAAACCTTAAACTGTTACCTTGAGATACTCATGATACCTTAAACCCAAAATATCTTTTAAAGTTTGCTTAAAATGCAACTGTAGTTTAGTTTAACTAGTAAAGAATGTCTCCCTTGGGCATTTTCCTGCTTTTTTTTTTTT